ACAAGAATTAACTACTCACCTCACCAATCAGTGGCCTTCCCCAGGAGCTCTGGATGTCAATGCTGTTGCCTTGGACACTCTACTCTATAGAAAGCACATTCAACAATGGGATGAGTAAGTTTCATATTTATTTTGATTCCCCTTTAGCAGAGCAGGGAAACTGAAAATTTCCCTCAGCTTTGGAACATATCCTATTGGAGTAATTTGTAGCGTGAAAGATCACGGGTAACTAAAATCAGTTTCTCTTGTTTTCCATAAAGATTTTCTTCCTTTGGATTAATTTTTTTAATAAGGGCAGGAAAAGAAATCATTGCTTTAAGAAAGAACTGGCTTTGGAAAGAAATAAAAATAGTGTTTAAGAGAAGAAAGATTAACTGTGTAGGGTTTTTTTTAGAAAACTTTTTAAGGAGAGTTGAAGATACCTAGTTAGATCTTTATATTTGTTGCTATCAAATATTGCTTGCTTTGCAGGAAAAGTTTTCAAAGTCTGGACCAACTTTCAGCAGAAGTTAGTCTTTCTCAATCCTCTCTGGATCCAGGTCACTCACAGGATGGGAAGCAAGATGGAATTAACTTGTTAAATGAAGGTACAGAGCCAGTCTAATGGTTTCCTTTAACTTTGTTCTTCATAGCTCTGAACTTCAGTCCCTGTGAGACAAATTTTCAGTGTGAAGAAAATACACATTGAAAAGCATATTTTTCATTGTTATATGAAGTGTTTCAGTTTCCCTAAGGACTCTGTTTCAAATAAGTTTGGATATATGAAAATACCCACCCTTCTCCTCTGTATTTAAAGCTAAGCTTAGAATGCCTTGTACATCTCTTCCTTCTCCATCACAGAACCAGTTGGCTTCACTGCAAGGAGGATCTGCTGACATCTTTCTGCTATAGCAAACTCCTTATGTTTCCTCTTTTTGGTTTTAAAAGAATGATTAAATGCACTGGATTTGCAGCTACCAATGTCTTTCTTGCATCTTGCATTTAACATTTATTTGGAGATGCAGTGTTTCCAGTAAAATAGAGAGAGGAACATGATATGAACTGTCTATATAAGTGTACTATATACATACACCCCTTTCAAAAGCACCCCTGGATGCTTATTAAAGCTTAGCTGCTCCATCTTGTGGACAATTCTGAAAAAGCAGGGAAATGTTGGAAGAATTGTGAAATAGTAGTATTTTGGGTATAGAATATAAATTCTTATAAAATAATCCTTTTTGTATCTCATCAATTCAAAGTTTTAAATAGATTTGCCAATACAAAGCCTTAGTGTTATGTAACCATTAAACTTTCTTTTTTTTTTTTTTTTAATATCAAAGATAAAAAAATTGTGGTTTTTTTTTTAATTGTAAACAATATTAAAATTAATTTAATTCAAGACTGATTTCAGCCCGGCCTGGGTAGGGATCTCTGTACCACCTGGATAGGGAAAGTGTGGTGTAAGTTGTCTTGCCGGTCACATTTATGGAACATGCCTGTGCTGAAGTATACCATGGAATTCACAGCAGTGTAGATGAAAGAGCTTTTTCTGATCTCTCATTTTTTTATGGTCAACTAATCTTGTGCTGCAAAAATTAGTAGCTTGATTCTTATTTTTCTTCACAGGAAAGGAAGACACTCCATCATTGCTTGGTCTTTGTGGCTCTCTTACATCAGTAGCAAGCTACAAGTCTCTCACAAGCCTGAAATCAAGTGAATACCTTGCAAGTCCCACAACAGAGATGACAAGTCCAGGCTTAACACCATCTTGAGATGCACACAAGAAGGAAGAGCTTTCTGTTGTATGCATTAGGTTTATGTTCCATAAGATGACATGCAGTGAAGACTACTAGTTCCGAGTTAAAAAAATAAGCTGCTTTATTTTTTCTTGTCATGGATACCTTTATAATTCACAAATTTGGTCAGTTTTCATTTGCTTTTTCTTCCCCCCAGAGGACTTTTCAGATATTCTATTTTAGTCTGGAATTATTTAAATCTCTTGGTCAGATAAAGAATGTATAATCTGATGTTCATGACTAGTTTTTAAAATGAAACGGTTGGAAATCAGACCCATACTTAAATACCATCAGCTTTGTTTCTCCTTGCACTAGCCTGGACCAGCTCTAGCCACTGTACTCTGCAGTGCTTTAAATATTTATCAACTCCTGTGGAAGAGACAGGGAATCCTGAACACCAGTCTTTGTAGGCAAATAAATACCTAAAAATCCAGCTTTTCATCTGTGTATGTTGTATAGAACCTCAAATAGCATATTTAACCTATCAACAGCTTCTCTCAAGTTGACTCAGTGTTAGGTTTTCCACTTAATATCATGGTACTTAGGAGATGTCCCAGTCACACTGAAACACAAACACTTGAAATTGCATGTGAATAACAAATGTAACTTGGTCATATAAATCAAGTATACATAGAGATTTGTAAATGGTGAGCAAACTCACTAAATGCTATTAAATGGCCTGGGTTACAGGTAATCTAACATTATACAAAAAGTTTCTTGCTGAAAAGATGGGGGCTATGGATGATGGGCGTAAGCATCTTACGAAGTTTGGATTCCTTGTTTATTGGCAAGATCCCAAGAAGAGTGAAAAAGGGGAAACAATGTAATGACTGTATTTGTGTGTTAAAATACTTTTCTCATCCCTGTAGTAGTGCAGTAGGTATTTTTCTTGCTTAGGTAATACAGCAGAAATTCTTTTAAGTCAGTTTTCTCCAATTATTTGCCACTGATTTAAAGTACTAATAGGAGGGGAAAAAAAAAAAAAGGAGACATTTTTTTAAATGTAACTAACTTTCCAGATTACCCTACAGTTTCAAAGTTTGCAAAATAATTTTTGAATTGCAAACTATATTCTTAATTCTTTGTAAGATACAATGGATCCTTTATCTATGAATTTTGCTAATCAAGGTAATGCTTATCAGTATGATTAGTAACTTTTTAAACAAAAGTGAAATGCATGTAAGTATGTTGTATTTATAAGTGCTAGGGAAAATGCTTTTTTGTGCCAAAGAAGTTTCATAAATTGTTTACATGAGTAGCTGCAATACAAGACAGATTTTTAATTATTGCTTACTCCTAGGTGTTTACAGTATGTTACTACACTGTACAGGTTTAGTTGATTTGCCTCTTGTGATGGTACCTTGGCACTACTACTTTAAACTGCATCATATGGTGGGCTTGAAAGAAAGATTAATTCTTACTTTAACTGAAATATTTAGTCTTTTTAAGTAGGAGGCTATGCATTTCTAGAATTCAAGGCCCTGGTGGATTTAGCTAGAGGATAAGAATCCGTCTCCTCAACTCTAGTGCATGCTGCTGAAGGACACTACATCCATGGCAGGGTGCACAATCGCTGATGCTATTTTAATGCAGAATTTTAAAGCAGTTTAACAAAAGCACCAGGTCTTTCAAGCCCTTATGTACCCACACAGGTAATTTCTCTGTAATAAACTCTGACCACTAAATCCTTTCATACACCTTCAGAATGTCCATTACTTCATGGAACTTTTTTTTTGTTATCACATTAAGCACCTGTTTCTTGAGTAACATTATTAAATATAAATTTGTAAATTAGAGTTGCATTTTTACTACAAATAAAATGAGGGAATCCAGATTCCACAAGTTAACATTCTGCATCAATATACAGTGATTTAATTTGTCTTGTTTGCTGTTAAACACTTCTCGTGTCACATAAGTGTTTTGGAGGGGGCAGTAATCATGATCTTCAGTCATGGTCACTATTGGCTCTTTTCTTAGAGCTAAATGTGTTGTTTAGCTGAAGTCTTTTATGTAGTCTGACACGTGTTTCTGGGTGTAATTTTGTGCATGGGCAATCAGTTATGTGCATCTTTCTCAGTTCTAAATATAAACCATTTTTTAAAAAATAATTTTAAACTACCAAAACTGTATGTTTTGTTGCCTTGATGTTCCATAAATGTTGCATGTAAATTAAAAATTTTGTATCATCACTAGTTACAAGTTATTGTCTTTGTTTTAATCACAGAGGATGAAGTAAGACCATTCTGTAAATTACAGTGTTACTGAATTTATACTTTTCTTGCAGAAGGGGGAGACTGGTTTTCTTGCTCTGTATCATTCGGTGTCATCCAATATCTGCTGCTACTATGTTCTCTTAGGCCTTATTTTGTAAATTTACATTCAAAAGTCACAGTGAAAGAACGGTGTTAAGCACCTCCTCTGGCAGCACTCTTGCCTAATGTGGTACCTGATGTCTTTCCAAGTAGAGCATTTTCCAGTGTGTGAGGAATTTTCACCGTGGTGAGCGCAGTGCTGCAGCTGTTCCTGCCGGCAGTGCAGCACACTGGGGCAGACGTGGCTGTGCCTGTGGCAGCAACCTGAACACGCTTTTCCCTCAGAGGGGCGCAGGGCTGAGCCAGGCTGGCGTGGAATCACCTCTCCTTACGCCAGCAACCTGGGCCTTCCTAGGCAGGTGACCCCACAGCAAGTGTGCATGGCCTGGCCCTGCCTTGGAGCAGTGTGACAGTGACCACTTGCACCTCCCAGAAACATGTGTGTTCCTGCAGAGCACCTGAACAGGCCTTTGGCTTCAATGCATAGGTGTGCTTTCATTTCTTCGAGTATTACGTTAAACAAAAAGCACCTGCTGCCCCATCAGTGTATGTACCATGCTCTCTCAGTGTCTAATGAACATAAGTATTTTTCTAGTTTTACAGAATTTTTCATTTAAAATAAACCTGAGAAGCTTTTATAATACGCACTTATACAAAATACAGAGCTGCAAATAACAAACGTACAGAATGAAACACATAACAAGCAGCAAGAATAAATAAGTATTTATTGAATTCACTCTGTATCAACCTCCGTGCTGAGAAATAAATACATCTTACACTTAGAAACCCAAAACGTTTTTAAACATAATTTTAAAACCCAAATAAAATGTTTAATCATGAATGCTTAAAATTTAACACAGTGGAAGTCATTCTTCATTGCTATGTCCAGCCTCAATTTTTCTTCTCTTTCTCCTTTCTTTTTTCTTTTGTTCTTCCTTCCTTTCTTTTTTCTCTCCAGCTGCAAGAGAAGTCATAAAATCTTCAATGATAGTTTAAGGGTGATATGCATTTTCTTATTCTTAATAAAAAGAGTGAATTAATCCTTTGTGAAAGTTAAAAATGAAGCTTTATTTAGTTACCAAATGTAACAGTAGAAATTCACTTGGAATTCTAAAAAGCATCTTCATAGATTTAAATTTGGCACAACTTCCATCATATACTTCGCCTTCATACAACCGGACGAAGAATTATGGATGTTGATTCTTTTTTTCGTTTAAATGAGAAAAGAAAGACTTTCCATATTCGTAGGTGCTGATCATTATGGCACAAGCAGGAGCAACTTTAAACAGCCGTGGAGTAATACCTGCCCAGAAGAGAAAGGGAATTATTCACTGTGGGAACTCAAAATGTCTCTCAGACATTTTTAGAGGTTCCAGGCCTTGGTCAGGAGCATTTTAGATCATGGCAAGCAGCTGGAAACAGCTGTGATTTTGAGTTTGAGCCATGGAATAAATTACCAACTTTGAAGGTGGAACAAGCAGTCACAAAGGGTTAGATAGTATAATAAAAGAAAACAAAACAGAGGGGAAAATTTTTAGTATTGCACAGGGGGGTTTTAGCACCTATACAGGGGGGGTGTTATTTTGTGCATAGGAGTCAGAAATTCTAAGATAGAAAAAAGTGGGCTGATCCTGTTCTTCCTCCTTCTTCTTCCTTGCCTCCATATTCTTAGTAATGTTAGCACTCACAAATTAGTTTAAAGTAGAAAAGCACTTAGTAATATAGGTAGTAAGTATTAGGGAATAACTGTAAACATGTAATACATAATATATCATATAAAAGATAGCAGCCCTAAGTGGGGGAAAAGAAAAAGAAGACACCAAACAATTAGGGTATCAAGAGAATATGCCTCTACCTAAGCCACTGACCAAAGGGCTGCAGCCCATGAAGACAATCTTTTAGATAACTAGCAATAAACTGCCTTAAAACCAAACATCAAAAGGCTGCAGAGTTTTTCTTTAAATGCACAAGTTAGAAGAAAAACTTCACCACCACACACAACCCCAAAATAAACCCAAAGTTCTCACAATTCACTATTATTTGTTTTCAGACCCAAGTGCTGCAGTACGTTGTGTTGATCACAATATATTGATACCATAGTATATCAGTTTAGAGCTGGGATTCCACCTGCTCACATGCCTCAAAATACTGAATTTACTGGCTGTAGGTATTACCACAGTAATAAGCTTATGCCCTCCCCTCTGCTGTCTTGTGTGGTCTGCCTACCTCAAGTTCATTGTGTCTCTGCCCCTTCTGACTCTGTGCAACTGGAGCACTTGGACATGCAGGGCTCCTGTGCTCCAGCACACCAGAGGTGGCCTCTACTAAGATGAAGAATCCTGGTCACATTAATAAATGATGGAATTTAAGTGTTAAATGTTTCCCATTATAGTCAACTGTGATCTTGCCAGTGGAGGTTAGAAAGTGATTCAGTTTAGAGGAACGGAAATAAGACTGAATATCCCCTTGTCCACACACAGCCAGTGCCTCTACTTCCCCTTGAAATGCAAAGACATCTGCAGAGAGCCAGCACAGCTGACACATGACCCATAGAGAACTTGTGTGGCTTTGGAACAGCAGCAAGGAGCCAGGCAGACTAACCCCAGTCATCCCAGCTGTGTGTGGCCAACTGAACTGGAGGGTTGGCTCATCAAGCCTATCTCTAAACTCTGCTACCCATGTGTCAAGACTGAAGTGTGTTTTAATCCATTAACTGAATACAGTATCAATATTATCGATACTTTGTGGTGTCTTGCATTCTGTTAGCATACAGTGCTCTGAAATACGCAGATCCTGTTACCCAGGTATGCCATCACTGTACAGTGAGGAAAGCAGTTTAATCTCTTTCAGCTAACAAGTCTTGCAAGCCTAATCACCTGTGCAGCCATTCACACAAGGGCCCCGAATGAGCCAGTGCAGCGTGGTGAAGGCCAGTAAGTATCCTGGATTTGCAGGATATGTCTCTTGCTGATGGTCATTTTAGCATGAACTACAATAGGATTTTATCTCAATATTATTTTAATCTTAGTATCTTGCCATTTCTGCCTCAGGCTGCCAGAGTCATGCAGGAGAGGGCCAATGTTTTCCCTTGTCTTCCTCTGGTCACCAACATACCTATAGAAGCTTTTCTTGTTGCCCTTGACATCCCTGGCCAGGTTCATTCCCTAACCCAATCTCTGTCTACTTGAACCATTTCTCTGTGACTTCCTTCTTGCGTCTGAGTTTGTCCAGGAGCTCCTCCTTCCTCCATACAGACAACCTGGAGTTTTCACCTGACTTTCTCTTTGCTGGGATACATTGTTCCTGAGTCTGGAGGAAGTGATTCTTGAATATTAACCAGCTTTCTTGGGCCTCTCTTCCCTCCAGGAGTTTATCCCATGGTACTCTACCAAGAAGATCCCAGGAGAGGCCAATGTCTGCATGTCTGTTGCTTTATATATGCAAACTATTGCATAGCTGACAGTGTTCACAGAAATGGAAATATATAATTTATGCATGTTAACATCTATAATTAAGAACATTCTAGTCTGAATTTTTTTAGAGATAGGAAAAAAATTACCTGCAAATAATCCAGTAATTCCATTTCCAGTAGCAATTTTCCTCATAACTGCCCAGGTTGATTTACTGTCCCTCTGTGGAACTCAATATAGTACAAGACAACAGTGAATTAGGCAATCCATGCAATGCCACAGAAAGATATTTTTAGAAATCGGAGACAGTCACAGATGTAATTGTTAGACTTAACTCCTTTTGTTGTTAAATTTATCCATCTTATTTATACAATATGTTAAATTAATACAGTATGCAAATAGACAAATTGAAACAGCAAGACATGGAAAAAAACTGTAGTAAAACCTAGAGTAAGATAAATTAACAACTTCTACAGTCTTTACTGGATTGCTGATACAGATGAAAAAAGCCAAAGCAGTTTCATAGAATACATTCATTAGGAATATCCCACAGCCCTGGGAAGCCAAAAAATAGTTTTGCAGTCAAAGAGAGACAAAATACAGATGCATAGTCAGTGCCCAAGTCTAATAGTAACTGGATTTCGGCAAAATTAAACTGGCACAAATTAAAGATTACCATAATGGAATTTTAAAAATATAAATCAATCTGGTTAATATTAACCTAATAAATGTATGGCAGATACATGTTTCAAAGCGGTGTAAGGAAGGAATTCTTATATTTATCAGCATAGGAAAATAATTAAAACCAGTAACTATTTATATTTAAAACTTTTTCAATACTTGTTCTGCAATCAAATGATAATAATTTTTTTCAATAATTACTCCAGGAAATAAAAATTTACCTGAGAGAATGAAACCTCATGCCAAAAAGTGAGGACTTATTTTCTAAGCATTTAGATTTTCTAAACTATTTTATTTTATTTTCATTTTCTAAACTATTTGGATACTCAGCCTTTTTAATGGTCTGTAATCTTAAAGCCATTATATAATATTTAATAATATTTATTTAGGTTAATGTAAGTTCTTCACTGGTCCACATTCCAAGCAATAGAAAAAAAGGTATTATAAACCACTTCAATTTGGATAAAACAGAGCAGTGCTCTACTGACAAAAGCAAAACAGAAACTTCCTCTTTCATCCTTTAAAGATGTTAGAACATTCATTAACATGTCCTCCAAAATAATTTTTTTAAATCACATGAAAAGAAGGTGAAAAATACACAACCTAAGCACAATACTTTCTAGTCTAATACTTACCATAAGAAAATTGCTATGGTAGGAGTGTTGTTCTGAAGACTTCTTCAATTGATCACCGTTCACCTGAATGTTTGTTATGAAGTCACTTTTTTGCCTATTTAAATATAACTTGCTTCAATCATAGAATAGTTTGGGTTCAAAAGAACCAAAGAACCTTTATAAGGTATCTAGTCCAACATCCCTGCAATAAGCAGGGACATCTCAAATTTGAAATTAGTCTGCCTAAATGTAATAACTTTGGAGTCCTTTGTTTCAAATCTATACCATCTTATTAAGCTATATTGTTCTGAACTCATACATTTTCCCTCTTCCATGCCATTAATAAAATATGGTATTCTCCTATTCTCCTAAATTTTATCTTATCTAGATACTACAATTTGGGGAAGAAAAAATGCCTGAGTGATAATATCTTTACATATACTTTAGAAGTGGCAATTATTTAAAATTCCTACCACAAGCCATACCCAAATACTAGGTTTTATTTTTTGAAACACAATTTGTTTTTTTTTAGTCTTACCAGCAACTTACTTTTTAAGGTCTCATTCTCCCAAAGTTGAGTTTGCCTATGTGTTTTCACTACATCAAATGGCTGAGTTACAACAGCTGCAATCTATCAGGAAATCAGTTTTAATGTTACTGCACAAAAAATTAAAATTTAACCCTAAATTTTTAAATTAAAGTGCACATACAATTTAAAACTAGATTTGATATTCCAAGCACATGATATTTTTAAGTCTTGTGTGTCAGAACATTGCAATTTATTCAGATTTATTTAATCAGGTTGAATGCCACATATGTGTTTGAAGTACAAATTCCCCAAAATATACATTTCTGAGAGAAAAATCTAAAATCATACTTTTTAAAAATAGTTTATTAGTGCTAATAATAAAGAATAGTACTAAAAATGAAATTATATACTTACAGAGCCAGCTGCTGCTCCTGAAGTAAAAGAAACAAAAAATGTAGGTTCATTTGCACCAACTTTCTTGCAAATCATCTTCTTGAAACGTTCATAATTATACCAATACAATGCTATGATTACAAAAAAATAAACTTGCATTACAACACGGTTGTATAACAAGTACAAAAATTCTTATATCAAATCCAGATATAAGAATTCTACTGTGGCAAAAAATGCAAACAGAAACAAGAGCTGAAAGCATAATAAGTGTTCTATGTGATAACCTATGGACAGATGGCTGTGTTCCCCATGTTCTCCATATACCCAATTTCTTCATGATACAAATTAGCCTAGTCATTTTGTCTTTCTCTTAGGCAACCCCTACCTTCATACAATCGAAACCCAGCAATATAAAACTCACTCAATTTAAAATAAATCAAAATGTAGGCTTCTAATTATTCGCTATATTTTCAGGCATATTCTGTGTTTCATACATCTCAGGAATTCTATAAAAACAAAATTCTATACAAAATGAAAATTGCTCCGGACTGCCTCATACTTTTTTGAGGCACTGTATAAAATTTAATTCCGAGAGAACAAAAAAATATGATTTTGCTCCCTGTACTAATAGGGAAATGCCTCTGTGGGGACTGTCAAACAACCTTTAGGAATAACATCTGTTTCTGTGACTATCTGCTGAGCTAAACTGCACTTTTTCTGCTAACTAAAACTTCAAACAATACACTACTGGGCTGAATTAGAGATTAATGCCTCATGGCAGTTGGTCAACTAAATACTTCAAATACTAAATACTGCTCCATATCCTGAAAGGTAACAATGCCTCATTCAGCACCGAGTTCTGGAGGTTGTGCCAGCAGAAAAATTTCAAAGCATCTTCTTGCCATCAAGACTACCAGCTTACATTCCTGGCCTCCAACATTTTGCAAAAGTAAAAGTAGGCAGTATCTCAGAAGGCATTCTGAGGATTTGAGGAGAACTTACTATTGAAATGTACAAAACCCTAATTTAATATAAATTATCTAAATCCAGCATTTTCTTAAGCACCGACAGGACACATCTCCCTGAACACCATTCACATTTATATTGCCTATGACACTGCTAAAAGAAGGACTCAAATATTATTATTAAACCAGTTTTTGTGTTTATAAGCATTCATAACTTAAGTTTTGTTCAGCCTAGCTAGCATCCCAAGGAACATGCTTGAAACACGTAATGAACACTTGGGCTAGGAACAGAGTGGAATTCTAATAATCCTGTGCTTCTTGGGTCATGCTGTGCTGTTTGACTGTTTTCAACAGGACCTGCTTTCTCTACTCTGTGTTACACTGATTTTTACTCTTGAGATAGTGACTTGAACTCCCTGCAGCAAAGGTGCAAACTGAGAACCCCAGAGATTCAGCTGCTGTTGGGGAATCATTCAAACTGAAGAGCTCAGATTGAAGGCATAAAGGGAACACATCATAGCAGATAGAGAGCAGTTATGAGGAATAAATTATCAGGATATACTGTTGGAAAAGGCATTAAACAGTATTAAACAACCTTAGCTTTACATAAGCAGAATGTTAAGGTATTTGGGTTTTTTTAAAATACATTTTCCTTTACTCATGCTTCTACTTGCCTGCTCACTATTGGTTGAGTAGTTCTCAACATGCAGCTACTGCCTTATAGGTTAACTTGTGCCTCTACCATCATGCCCACAAAGCACTGGGCACAGGTTAGTGAGTGGCCACTGCCTGTCCAGGGCATGCCAGAGCAGTGTGGAAACTGACTAAAAATCAACAAGCCTGGCTCAGAGCAGTGGAGGAACAGCAGGCATGGACACAAGAATCTGAACAGGGCTGAGAAGAATGCACATCACCTTAATGCCCTCTTCCTTGTGCACTCCTTCTGATTTTCCCACTCTGTTAAAAGCAGCAGGGGGAAGGAAGCTCACCTGCTCCACCACACTGCTACAGACGAAAATCAATAAAAGAATGATAGTTTCTACTTGAAGTCAGACAGCAGGAACTAGATGAATAATTTGAGAGTTCCCTTACAAACTTAGAGAACAGCTTACAAGAAAATTGCATTTGGCAGAGAAGAAAATAAAGTAAATTGAGAATAAATATTGAACAGGAAACACTTCAGAAAAGAAGATTCACCTTAAGAGTGAAGTAAGACAACAGAGATAGCAGGTCAAATACTTCAAAGGTTCTCTGACTTCAAAATCAGGTTTGAATAACAATCTTTCCAAAAATAGGCTTGAAGAATTTTTCTGGGCCAACATAAAGTGTTTAAAGATCCCAGGTACTACCCCAGTGACAGAAACTGCTTCAATGACAACTGATGTCTGATGATCCAAAATCACTCTGACAAAAACAGACCGTAAAAGGACAGGGGCTTGCTGGTGCTTTAGCAGTCTCCCCTGTAGCATCTGTCCCAGTTACCTTAAGGAATAGCCTAGGACTAGTTATGCTTTGAATCAGACTCTTCTTCTAGGCTTTCAGCTTTCGAGTCTTGCTAAAGAGTTTTTTGGAGCAGTTATACAAACAAATTCATCTTGACTTAAAAAAAAAATCTTGAAGACACTATTGTGTCACTCTCTGTACGTGTTTCCAAATTATTTAACAGAACACTTAGACACAGCATGGTTATCAGAAAACAGCTACTATTTCTATCACAGAGAAAATTTCCAGCTGAAACTCTTAAAAAGCAGTCATTGTGTAAGCTAAAGATGAGAAGAAAGAGTCTAAGTACAGAGAAAGGGAATGTAACAATGAATCCTATCTGGTGTCCACAAACAAAATGGGGGGTGGGAAAAAAAAATCACATCTTCAGAGAATTTATAAATAAAAACACTCAAAAGAGAAAAAGTAAATCTCAGTCATTCCTAAAGCCAACTATTAAAACCACCTAAAAAGACAGAAAAATAATATAAAACATAAAAACCTGCATGGAGAATAAACCTTACCTGAGAAAGGAACATCTCTGAGAATAGTAGAAGTCCAGCCCTGCCACAGGGAGAACCACCCATCTGCAGCCACTTTGGTGCTGATACCCCGGTACAGCTGCTTGTAGGACGACCTGCGATACTGCAGCTGAGTTCTGATCAGCTCCAGCGGACTCACCACAGTGGCAGTACTGACTGCAAAGGAAACATGGCTTTATTAGAAAAATCAATATTTAATAGCACAATTTCCTGAACAGTCATGTCTCACCTTACTTTATGTATTTGATTCTTTTCAAACTTTCCTTGAACTAATTCCCAAAATAAGTTTCCTTTCCAACTAAGAAAAATGTGCCTATTCACAGTACCTACATTTCCAGTTTAGGTTTTTTTTTGTTTTTCAATGCTAGCATGTTGAGAATCCTCATTTTTCAGATTTAACATATAAATAGGCTGAAAATTTCAAGTACCTACACTCAATTATTTTCATTAGTTGCCATTTTAAACTGTAACTTGAAGAAAGCGATCTTGATGTTTAAGGCTTCTTTTTGTGTTAAGGACAGAATTGTGGTTACAGATTTAAGCTTTTATTGATTTCTAAGCATCTTTGCCACTCTTATTTCAAACTATCAAGAACAATTATCTGATAACGTAACTCTTGCATCTTGCACAATGGTCAGTGAGTCATCATTCAGCAACAAATTACCATCACACATCTAACAGACATTAAAATTTTTACTAGATCCAAGAATTTTTCTTCTGTTGTCAGAATATGGTTTCACACATGAATTTAAAATATGGAACAGCCTTAATAAGAACAGTGTACCACAAAATAGCAATTCTTTTTCCACTAGTCTGTCAGTGCCCCCATGGTTGTCACAGGTAGAACATACAACTGCATCATCAGACCCTCCCAAGAAATCCCTAAAATAAATTAGCTGAGTTAATTCTACAAAAACAGAGGGAGAAAAGGAAAAACAAAAGTAAGAAAGTATATAAATTCCATCCACATCATACAGCAGTAAAACCAGTACAAGTCCAATTTTCATCTTTATTATAATTACATGTACCTTCCATTAGACCAAATGATGATGTTTATTATTAGTCTGATGGCAGAACAGACTTAAATTAAACTGTCCTTGGTAGAAATCTAGAAATATAAAATTTGGAACCAGTTGTTGTGAAAGTGTTTCAGCAAAACCAGATCTCATTATTCCAGGTTAGAGGGTTCTGCTGCCCAAGAAATACTGGGTAATGACAGTATTTCTTCCTATCCCACATTTAAACCCACAGCATATTTACTTTAAATAAAAGGCAAGAAAACAAACCCAAGAAAACAACAGAGAAGTATCATGTTCCAGTTTTCTCTTTAAACAGAGGACAACTTACATCTGCTTAAGGAACCTGCAATAACTGGAATGTGCTCATCATGCTTTCCTGGTCTATTTTTCAAAACTTCACACAGCTGATCATAGCAGGTAAAATAGACTGCTGTGGTAGGAACTGCCATTATTCTAAAATATAAGAGAGGAAATTTACATTAATACCAGGAAAGAAGGAAAATAAAATCAACTGTCTTGTATTGATATTTTACTTACATTTTTTAAAAAGTTAAATTTTCAGCTGTGTATAATGGATTAATAAAAAAGCCAACATTAATCCCATAGCTTTGATTCACTGCTTCTAGTTCAGAATTTCAAACCCACACATTTTCCAGGTTTTAATTTCATTAGGGAAAACCGTAAGTAAAATGATGGTAGATTATCTCAGTCAAAATTTATTCTATACCAGTTACAGAACTATTTTGATAAAGAATGAGAAGTGAAAGATCTGGAAATGAAGAATTCAAACAAAATATTACACAAGTACTATTAACCTTAATTTTTATTTATGTAACAATTGGATATTATGCTCTTGATCAAAAGCCATGATACTACTTAAGAGACAATGTAATAGCCAATGTAGTATGCACAAATATATGCTTTTTCCATACCAGTATAGTACAGACTGTAGTAGGAACAGATAGATTCAATAATCATTCAGTGTAGGGGAAAAGCACCACATCTTACTATAATCTGGCAATTACACTTCTGTGTTATGTCTATGCCAATACAGCATGTACCACCATTATCAAAAATCACCAAGGACCATCATGCTTGGAAAACAACATGGCTTACTTTATATCTTCTATTTGTGTGACTTTCTCCAGTAAAGAAGTTAGTTCTCTGCTGGAGAACAGAACACATGCTTTGTAAAAAACTGTATTAACTGGAACACTTCAGTCAGGTCCTAGGCTTTATATTTTGAAATTGCCACATACTGGAGGGTAAACAAGACTGAACTCCACCACACTTTGCTTTTTTTGTGCCTATACAATGAGCACTGTCTGCAAATCAAAATCTGCTTCTCACTGAGTACTTCTCACTTTGTGCCTTACAAGATACAAGTTTAATACACATCTTAAATTTGAAAACTTGCTTGATTTATTATAGAGGTCTTATTTTCTATCTGTACTGGGTTAATATGAATAAAAAGATAAAACACTTTGAGGCTGTTAAGCCTAAAGAGAAGACCAGGAGGAGATCTGATTGCAGTGTTTAAATATGTAAATTGCTCTTGTAGAGAGAAAATTAATGATCTGTTTATCCAGACAGAATAAAACCCCAAAGTTCTCTGAAATAAAGAAGATGATTACAAAAATTAAGAAAGGGTAATGAGGTGGAACACCAGAGTATCTGGAAATAGCTGTGCTGCTGATAGCAAGACATTAAGTAACAAGATAAAACAAGAATGTGTCGAAGACTGACCCTCTCAAGTGACCAGGTCCCATCCCGAGATTCGATGACACTATCAAAGGAATGGTTATAGTAGGAAAAAAAAACAAAGCATGAAAATTCTACTGATCCTGCTTAACTACAGAGAATGTATCAGGAAATTCTAAAACCAGACAAAAATTATACTGTCCATAGACATTTCTGATCAAACTGATTAGTCTGTAACTTCAGAATTGACCAAATTCTTAAAATCACTTAGAAATAAGCATAATATTTTGTCAAAAATAATTAAGTAATTTTTAACAATAACTTACAGCATGTTACTACAAAAACCCATTCAACTTACAGTGTTGGGGGAAGCCCACTCCACAGTGACTTAATTCCCTCTATTCGAATAATTTTCATAAATGCATCCTAAAATATAACCCAGCAAAGAGCAATATTTAGCTACAAACTTCTGTAGTTAGTAATACATTTTAGTTGGCAAAACACAAAACTAAGGTCTTTAAAAGTATGTTTCTAAAATGGCTTATCATTGTAAGATCCCAATTTTATAACTGCTTACACAAGCTATCACACTTAATCATGCAAACAGTTCCACTGAGTGGAACAAAATAATTTATGTGACTGAAATTAAGAATTTCCTTCCATCTTTATAAAGCCAAAGTACTAAGTGCTCATCAGTGACTGATAGCCCTGTGAATAACTATTTTCAGTACTAATATAGCATTGCAGCAATTTGTGGAAACTTCCCAAAAAATCCACTACAATATTCTTTTCAATATGTATCAGAGTTTCTAGGCATGAAATAGCAACTGATTCTCCAAGATTCTTCAATACTTTCTCTGACAACATGACCCCATACATGCAGTGTGTATACAAGCTTTCAATTATTATTATTACAGCTGTCCTGTATAATCTCAGGAGACTGACAGCAGAACAACACTAAACCTTGAAGATCATTCATCTGAAATCACAAGCAAAGACAGAAACTTTGTAATGTCAGGATACTAATTTTCTTAAAACATCTGGGGAAAGAGGTTGGGATTCAATGGATTAGAATACACCTAAGACCAGACATTATTACAGAGTCTCAAAAGATAGAGAGTCTGGCAGATCACAGAAAGGACTTAGAGGAAGGAAAAAGCAAATAGCTTTAGAGGAGACAGCCTTGATGAACTAATCCTGTGAGGTAAAAAGTTGAATGGAAAAAACAAAGAAATGGTTCATTACAACAAACCTGACTAGCTTTGAAAGGAAGCCAAGCATCCCTAGAGGTCCAAACATGGTTTAACAAAAAATACACATTTATACTAGCTGGTTAGTATCTTTATAACCCAGTTTCAACAAGTTTACAAAACAGGAAGGTAATAGATAAGTCTAATTTTTTTTAAAAAAAGAAGATGAAATTATATGATAGTCATTCTTCTTTGAGAATCAACTTGTTCTGGCAAAACCAGGCATAAATTCATGTCAAATAGAAAACTAAGAAACTTTCTAAAATTATATAGAAAATGCAACTGAAAAAAATCACACTTGTAAAGTTCTTAATTAAAAAAAAAACCAAAAACCTCTTAAACTGCTGAAGACACCTTATGCATTAATCTCAAGATTTTAATTCATGGCAGAGTCAAAAAAAATTGTCTAATGAACCAGCATGACAGTATCTGCCAGCAAGTCTGTTTCAAGTGTTTAGGAAAATGCTAGCCCTACAAGTCTAGATATTTGACAGGATAGATACTTCTCTGGATAGAGAACTTGACACATGGACTTAACTTTAAACACCACCTGCACCATTAGTTCAGCTGAGGAGCACACTGGGAGATGTGTGGGCACAAGGACTGTAAGCAGGAAAGAGAAAATTATTACCTGCAATCAGGAACTACTGCCAGTACAGCCGAAGTGGGGAAAATCAAATAATAAAGCCAGAAACCTTTGAGGAGAGCTGTGCAACTGCCTCCTTGTTCATCTTTAGGAAGAAATATGTATATTTTTGCAGACAGTAGAAGGTATGATCAAACAGCAGTGTAACCAATCTCATCAATCAGCAGTGTAACCACATGAAGACCTTCTCAAATGATAACAGATTCCAGTACAACCCAAAAAAACCTGAAAACTTTAGAGTATGCTACTTAAAAATGCAGTTTTATATACATGCAAAATGTTCTTACCCATGTCCCTTTAAAATGTCCAGGTTTTTTATACCAGGCTTTGCTGTCCTCACTTCCACAAACATATACATGATCCATAAGGCCATTGGAGTATACAAAACACTTTCCTAATAAAATGGTGTATAAGAATATAGTTAATGCTTATAAGATTGTTTTTAGGCAACAGCAATTTCAAATTGGATATAATGGCAACACAGATTTATTTCTGGTTAGTTACAGAGGGGCAAAATAATTTGGTAAGTCAGTAATGACAGATTAGGTCAAAGGAAAGAGGGTACAAATGTACCACTCAGACTGCCCAAGTAAATGGAACTGCCTTCACAAGGCTCCAAGAGACATATTCAGGTTATATTACCATCTGCTGAAAGGTAAAAGTAACAGAAGACCTATATATCACTACTGTATGTAACTGTGAACATCTTTCAGACTTTTAAATCTTTTATTAAGTAGCCTCAGCATCCAATTCAAGTGGAGGTATTGTATCTTGTTATTGTTATTATTATATCTTATCTTGGTCTGTATTTATACTAGATCATCCCCTCCATTTGTTTTTCATTTCTCCTACATTATGTGCTTTCAACCTGTTTGATAAAATATTATTGCCATTACAAAAACATACTTTAAGCTTCACATTTGCAGATTGCTGAAGGCTTTAGAACTTACTCAAAACCAGGATAGAAGGCACAAGTATTTTTCCTAATTTAATTTGCAAGTGTGACTGCAAATACCTCCACATTCAACATGAAAAACCAATCATCTTCTTTCCTTTTAAATCTTATTTACTAAGTACAAGTAAATAGTAGGAACCATTAGCACATCTCTGAGAGCACAATATCTTCATCTATTTAGAACCCAAGAGACAAGGGACTTGTTAAGACTTGTCCATTTCAAAAATCTCTGGATTCTGGAGGAGATGAACTTTGATATAACATCCTGACCACTTAAGCCCTCTGATGAAATATTTATTCATTTAGTAACAGCTTTTTATTGTTTGACTCAACTTAGTATTAGTTGTACATTCTGCCATAATAAAAATATTAAGACAGAAAAAAAAAAAAAGCCTGTTAAAAATGGTATAGATGTATGGGATTTTTTCTGTTTAGTACATATTAGCCTGTTGCTTTCCCCTGCCCCCACCCCCAGTTATATTAGAGACACAAAATCAAACATTCTGCACCTCAGCACAGCATTATGACAACTATCAGCTAAATACAAGAGCAAAAAGCAAACTGTGTCCCCCATTACACTACGTATTTGTTTGTTTACCTTTATGGAATGGATTCCTTTGGGCTTGCAGTCGAATTTTGATAACATCAAGAGGAGTTACTAAAATAAAACAGAAGTCATTTAGAAACACTCAGTATGCCCTGAAAATGTAGAAGTCTACAGAGGCTTTATCATGAACTTTTACAACCTTTTTTTTGTTTCGGGGTGGCGGGGCGGGGAGTAGGGAGAGAACCCCACCTAACAGATTTTACAGTGTTATCAAGCAGAGAGAAAAGGGATGTTAGCAGACAGAGACAATGCTATCAGAGACAAAGGACAACTACACACCCTATATGGTTTGCAAGATATCAGATCTATCTTTTCTAATTTACCAACAGCTGCATAGGCATGAAATATTAGAGATACACAAAGCTCATTCAAAAACCACTGTGTCATGTTGTCAGTTATTGCTTTTATAAATAGCATACCGTAAGGCAAACAAAATCAAATTTTGGCCTCTGGCATATAAAACAGCACAACATTCTTCATGTGTTTGTTCTTTTTCAATAAACTGACCATAATACAACTTCCAAGAAAACAAAAGTTAAATTCATTTTGTACTTTTCTTTTCTTGTTGCATGTAGCCAATATGTAAAACATTTGGGTTCTTGAAAAGTGAAGGTTTAGTGAACATTTCACTGCTTCCACTGCAGCCCTTACAGCTGTCACAGGCTGAGACATGTTGAACGCTGCAGTGGCTGGGCAGCTGGGCCATCTTCCTCTGATTATGTCGGCTGAGGGCTCGATTCCACATATTCGTGGAAACATACATAAGGAGACCTCATGCTGAGTCAAACTGAAGAGTAATCACTTTGTAAGATTCTCTCTGTGGCCAGCTTCATAGTATGCCTTACCAAATAATGATGTAATTATAGCTCCACAACAAGAGGCTATTGCTTGCTGAGCAATGGTTAGTTTTTGTACATTGATATCACTCATTTCAGCCATGGCTTTATCTCCAGAGTAGAAAAACCTGTTAAGGAACAGAAAAACATATTGTAAGACTACGCTCAAAATTTGCAGAAAAAAAGTCAAGGGATAAATATTTTCAATTTTCATTACTAAGTTATGTAGAACCAGCAATATTACTTTTCTACTTATATAGAAGCATCTCAGTAATTTTTGAGATTATTTGAGCCATATTTTGCAAGTAAGTTTTCTAAAGACAATAAATCTTCAAAATTCTTCTTAAATGAATTACATTTACATGTTCTTGCAAACCCCATTAAACGTTTACCACATATTGACTTTAACTGCAACAAAGTGTCTACAAACAAGCAAATAATCCTTACCAAGATAAACTGCCAGCCTGTAGCCCATAAACTGAAGCACTGCAGAATAATTGACTCAGCCCTTCTCTTGCTCCCATCTCCTCTGAGAGAAGCCAGAAAGGTCTCCTGGCTGAGCCCACCGCCTGCTAGTGATGACTGTGTGCCCTGGCACTCCTCTGTAACAGGCAGGGACTAGCTACTCACAATGCTACCAGCAAATGCTAATTCCTCGAATTCCAGCAATTTAGGAATGCATTCACAATATCTGCAACTAGCCAGGACAGGAGAAGATAATAAAAATACTTCAGAAAATAAAATCCTCAAATAGAGGAGTGTCTGTCAAAACGCATCGCTGCGCTTAAGTGCAGCCCTAACTTTGTTAGAACCATTGATCTAAATTTTTCACTGGCTTCACAAGAATGTTTTGTTATTTTCACTACGCTTCAAGTTAGAAAGGATTAAGTAGCACAAACCGGCTCTGTCCTCTCAGGTGCTAACAACTGCAACGGCAGGTGGGGATATTGTTTATTTTTCAGGTATCTCTAACTCAGAAGGGGACCGCAGCCCAGAATTGCGTACATACCCGATTATCAGCGGCGCCGACAGGTGCAAAGGTCTCCGCCACTCAGGCACGGTCCGGCCGGTGGCGAGGGGGGAAGAACGCCGCCACTCCTACTGCTCCGCCCGCGCCGAGCCCGCGCAGCTCGGTCCCCACAGCCGCCTGCCTTCCCCTGCCCGCCTTCCCCTGCCCGCCTTCCTTCCCCCGCCTCCCTGCCCGCCCGCCTTCCCCGCCCCGGGGCGGGCGGGGCCGGCCGCGCGGGCGGTTGGTGAGGGCGCCGGGGCCGCCGCGGCGCAGGCGGGAAGGCGGCGCGGAGCGGAGCGGCGGTGCCGAGCCGAGCCGAGCGGAGCGGCGGTGCCGTGCCGGCGGGGCGCGATGTGACTCCGCGGGAAGATGAAGCCGAGCGCTGCCGAGGCCGCCGACAAAGGAGCGCGTCCCCGTAAGCTGCGGGGAGCTGCCGCCGGCAGGCCTGGCTTAGCCGGGCCGCCATCCCGGCCGGGGCTGTGAGGCGCCGCAGCCGCCTCGTGCCGCGCTTGGGCCGAGCCTCGGGCCGGCGCTGCGGGCGGGGGCGGCTGGAAGGGCCCTGGTGTGCCCTGGGGAGTTACGCGTAAAAGCGTGTTCCTGGTGTGTGGGAAATGGCCGGGCCGCTGCTCCCCCCGGGCTGGCATCGCTGGAACTTGTGTGAAGGGCTCCTTAGGCCCAGGGGGTGAGAACGCACCCCCATAGCAATGAAGAGAACTCTTCATTGCTGTTGTAGTTTTGCTAATGCGCTCCAAACTTCTGATTATCCCTGAGCCGTTTAATCTGCGTGCTCCAATATTAATTCCAGTTAATTTCTAAACGGCCCTGGCATGTGTGTGGTGAGTTTAACACTGTATTTTATCCGTGATCATCTACGGAATTGTCCTTGCACACTTGCTTATCATCCATCCTTTCCGTTCAGATTCTGGATCAGTTGCACCAACCTATATCTCTTAATTTTCTTATTTCTCTAGGTTTTTTTGTCTTCCACACCGTACAAAACTGACTGCTGTTCCTGCGTTTTTTAGTGTGCTCATATACCTTAGAGGATTTTGCAGCATGAGTAGTGGTTCTGCTCTCTATCCTACCTGGGACTGTTTCAGGGAGGGAAGGAATACTTTCAACAGAGGGACTGTTTTGCATTTTGCCTTTTTGTCTCCAGAAGAGGCCTGCTCACTTCCTGTGGCAGCTCTCATTGTCTTGAGCTTCTCCAAAAGAGAAGCAGCTAGGAGTAAGTCAGTGAGGAAGAAGAACCAATGTAAAGCCAATATGTGGAACTGTGCTTTGAGCAACGTGATCTAGTGAAAGGTGTCCCTGCTTATGGCAGGGAGGTTGAAACTAGATGATCTCTAAGCTCCATTCCAGCCCAAGCCTTTCTATGGAAGCTTGCTCCATCCATTTCCTTAATTTAGGAATTTTCCCTTTCAAAAATAAAGCCAACATCCAATTCTGTTTAAATTGCCTGGTTTTTTTTTTCTGCTTTCCCCAGCAGATGGAATACAAGCAAAAACAGAAAAGATAAGATCTTCCCTGAAGAATGTGAAAAAAGACACAGAAAAGCCAGAGAAACTCAAATTTAAGCCGCTCACTGGGAAGGTGTTTTACCTCGATATCCCATCAAATGTGATCTCTGAAAAGTTAGGAAAGGACCTCAAAGAGCTGGGAGGGGTAAGTTAATAAGAGTCATGTATGATCCTAGAAGGAAATGTGCACATGTGGAATGCCTTTTTTGTGTTCTTTGTAACTGCATTTTAATGTTATTTGTAGTTAGCTGAGATAGGGTCTTATTTTTCTATGTTTGTCTTAAACTTTAGTCCAAATAATGAGCTTATCAACAAATTATTCTGTGGGTTTTCAAGAGAAGCTGCTTTCCTGATTGGAACAAAAGTTCTTATTAGGAAGTTTTATTTTCAGTTGATTATTCACCTGGCTTAAATTTTAATCCAAATTTACTAGGTTTCATTGTTTGAGGCGATTTTTCTTCTGCTGCTTCTGACTATATTGACATGTTTACATGTTGCAACTAACAGTGCTTAGCTGAACCTGGAAGAGATTAAAGAAAGAGTTTTGTGTCTGTTTTCTGTAAGTCAGAAACTTCACTAAAAGCATTTTGCACAGAGTATCTTAGTGAGTGTTTTTGAATACTCTTACTTAAACAATAAGTTTTATAAGCATCTTACTAATTTTTTTACTAATTCTCCTTTCTATATGGAAGGAACTCTGATACAAGCAAGTACAGGATGCTTGTGTGGAGGGCACTTAGCAATGCCTCTCTCTGTATATCCTGGTTCTGTAAAAGATGCACAAACAGAATTGAAAGGCACAGTTTCAAGTTGTGTGATTTGTTCTTTCCACACTGATTAGTGGAAAAGAGGAAAATACCTCAAACTATACAATCTGACATGAAATAACAAGGCAGATAGCAAAACTGAAGTTGGCAATGAAAGAGACTGAAGGAGCAAAATTGAAGAGTGGACTCAGAATGATGGCATTTTTATATTGCTGAGTATAAGAATATGAATCTACTTAAGACTTTACTTTTTGGAGAAATATTATGAAAACTGTAGGTGTGAAACATGGTAGCTATCCTGAAATTTTATTTTTTCTGCTGGTTCTAAACTCAGTAAATTTATAGCTTGTTGCAGACTGTAAATTACATTTGCAAATACCTGCCTGTATGTTTAGCTGAACACTTCTGTATAATTCCTGTTACCTAAAATTAGAGTAATTTCCTTGAATTAATGTTATTCCTTAATGCAGTGTTTGCATTCTTGTAATTGGAACGTATTACAGGTAGGTAGTAAAAAATTGTAACAATCATAACAAAGCAAAGCTCTTTTAATGATGATTACAAAATTAAGAAATTGAAATTAGAATTCGTGGCTGGTAAGATACTAGTACAACTTAATTGTCATTGTCATCCAGATATTTAGAAAATATTTTCTTGTTAACTCAGTGTGTTTGAACTTAATTGTTTTAGAAATTTTATCGCTTTCCTTTAAAAGATTTCATGTAAAATTGAGTTACTGATCTATTGTCCTGAAATAATTACTTAGTTTATGTCTTTATATTTAGAGAGTGGAGAGTTTTCTTAGTAAAGATATCAACTATCTGGTGACTAATAAAAAGGAGGCAAAATTTGCACCAACTCTTGGCCAGATTTCCCCTGTTCCTAGTCCAGAATCTGCATCTAATGGAGGAAATGGTTCACCTCATCCTAGCAACCGAAAAGATCGACATGATGGAAGCTCATTTAAGATAGTAGATACAGTAAGTTTCTTAGTAATAATGCTGCAAATCAGGTGTGATCCATGGGATATGCTCTTAAAAATTTTTCTTCTATTTTTTTTCCTAAAGGTGGCAGCAGTTCCTTGGGTGAATAAGGGTTTTTCTTGCAAACATTCTTTTAAATTTATTCAGGCTAACTTGTTAAACTTAACTAGCTCAAACTAATTCAGCATATTTTTCGGACCTTCTTTTAAAAAGGATCCGTTCTTGCAAATAAAAAGAATACACTAAAATATGTTATAATTTACTATGCCTGACTTACAACATTGATGTCATGTTTGACAGCTGGATCAGGCATGTGATGACATCCGGTGATTCCTGTCTCTTTAGCAACACAGCCTATTAAAAACTGGCTGATTTGATGTTGTTAATGCAGAAACACTGTTAGTAGTAGGAGATCATTAAAATTGAGCATTATGAATATTAAAATTTTCTGACCTCTTTCTTAGGGGATCACATTAATTGCAACAGTTAGTATCTGAATTTATGCAGGTTTATGTGAAGTTTCTTACATGGGCAAGTCTTGTGTCCTTTCAAAATACAGTTGAAAATCATTAACTGTTATATATATATATGGTGCTTATTTAGAAACTTGAACAGGCTGCAGGCTGGTCTTTGTATTGCATGGGTGAGGTCACCTCATTTTGCAAACAACCTGGATAGGTAAAGGCAGCTCATTATGAATAAACAGCAAAAAGTAGAAAAAGGAAATGCAATGGTGATTGAAAAGCAGGGAATAAGACAGAAGCTGTGATTGTATTCATGACTATAATTTTCACAAGCCTAGCTGATGTAACCTCATCTTTTGGTGTCTGTGTCATTGGCTGCTTATTCCCACCATCTGCTTTGTTCCAGCACTATCATTGCAGTGGCCTTTGGCTGAAAATTATTACTTGTTGGGATTTTTTAAAGTTTATCAACTATAACCCTATGAGAAAGATGCACGTTATTGAAAAATTAGCAGTAGAATGAAAAAAGAAGACCCTCATAGCTTACATGTGTATTTGCTAAGAGCGATGTAAATTCTCTCTTTGCTACAAATGTATTTCTGTTTTAATGTAGGTACGTATGAGCAGAGGAAAGTCCTTGGTTGAAAAAGCAATCAAAGAACAGGTAAGCCAAATAATCAACAAACTTGTGCTTCAGAACCTTGGTGGTTGTTTTTCTAGAAAACAAGCAGTAGCATAAGTGGTTTTAGTAGTTCTAGAGAGAAGTCAGTCACGGAATACT